TAGAGGAACCCGGGGCTGCCAAGGGGGATGAGGACTGGGGGTGTCCTGAAGCCCCAAGGTGTTTGAGCAGGTTCTGGGGACTCACAGCAGCAGGTAGATGGTGATGATGATGTTGAGAGGGCTCAGTTGGGGGTTCAACCGGGACCGGAGTGCAGCAGCCCAGGCCCAGAGCGTGGTGTGGGGTTCCCCTGCCAGGACAAGGCAGTGTCAGTGCCTCTGAGACCCCATGGTGGGCTCTGCCAGAGCTGAAGTCCCAGCAGCACCTCCCTCCCCAAGCCCCCTGACCCACCCCAGAGGCTGCGTGTCCCTGCCAAGGGCACCCGTTCGCTGCTGCTGGGAGTCAGCAGGGCTGCCTTGTCATCCTCCTCCTCTGCTTCCCTTGGCCTCGGGCTTTGTTCATCTGTGGGTGACCAGGAGCCATTCATGAGTGTCCCAGGGAGAGGACTGGGGGTCCCAGGAGCATACAGAGAGCTAATCCTGCACTCCCTGCTGCTGCAGGAGATGCTGGTCAGGAGGCCGAGGGCTGTGTGGTCCCCCCAGACCGTGTGTGTCCCAGGAGGGGGAGCAGAGCCCAGAGGGGCCAGCAGGGCAGGGACGTGGGTGAGGACACAAGCAGGGCTGGAACCATGCACCAGGGTGGCTGCTCACCCAGGGACTCGTGGAGGCTGTTGGGCTCTGGGGTGCTCTGCTCCAGGTCTGACTGGCTCGAGGTCTGGAAGAGGAAAAGCCCCAACCATGGTGTGTGTCCCCAAGGCACCCACCCCACGGCCATGGGGACATGGGCAGGACCTGATGACACTCATGAGGAGAGAGCTCTGGGGGTCCTGAGGCCTGCTCTGCCCCGGGCTGGGGCTTTTCCACTCCACACTTCCCCCCAGAAGCCTTCCCAGGGGCCACTGCCCCCAGCCCACCCCAGCCAGGGGGCTGGGACTGGGACCACCCCTCCCTCTGCTGCATCCACCTGCACGCAGGCCCGCCGTTCCCCAGCCTTACCAGAGTCTTCTCAAGGGTTTCCTCGTTGTTCACCGAGTCCCGAGGGCTCTGGCCGCCGTCCTGGACAAGGAGAGATGAAGGGAGGTGCCCTGCAGTGGATGGACGGAGCTCCCCCCACCCAGCCCCGCGTACCTGCAGCTGTTTGCAGACCGACCTCAGGAGCTGGTACGTGGCCTCTCGCTGGCGCAGCGACACGAAGAGGAACTGCCGGGGAGCGGGGAAGGGGCTTTGCACCGGAGCTGCTCCCTCGGTCACAGCCCAGGGCCTCCCGGGACCCGGACACCCCAAACAGCCCCAGGCGGAGCCGCCCCCCCCCCAGCACCGCCCCCGCTCTCACCTTCTGCCCCTGGGCCGTGCGGATGCTGAGCGCGTTGGGCACCAGCAGCGCCGTGTTGGTCTTTTTGAGGGCTGAGATGGAGGCGACGGGGACCACGGCCTGGGCCGGGGGGGACGGGCAGTGTCACCAGTGTCACCGTGTCCCCAGCTGCCACCCGCGACCCCGCCACAGCCCCGACCCCAGCCCACCTTGATGTCCTTGAGCAGGAGGCTGGAGTGGAAGCAGACGTGTCGGGAGGACACGTAGAGGCGGCCGTGGTAGGGCACCTCTCTCTGCCAGGCGCACGGGAAGCAGCCCAGCAGCGCGTCCCTCCCGGCGAGCTCCCCGAAGGCCCGGCGGTAGCTGCTGTCCCGTTTGCTCAGCTGCGGGAGGTCGGGGTGGGGGTCGGTATCGGGGGGTGCTCAGGGGCATCCCAGAGCCCCCCTGCTTTGTCACCGCCTCTGCCCTCTCCCTCGGCCCCCCCCTCAGAGAGCATCGGGTCGGGACCACGGCACTGGGGCCGGGGTTTGGGTCCCCCTCCTCGGCCCCGGCACCCCGAGACTCACCGCGGGGGATGGGGGTCCCTCCCCGCCTGTGGCCGCCTGCCCTGTGTCCTTGAAGGGGGGGTCATAAGTCCTGGATCTGGAAGGGAGCAGCAGGTGGGGGTGACCCCGGGGGCACAGCCCCGGCGGGAGGTAGGGCTGGGGTGCAGGTACACCCTCGAGGTGCAGCACCCACCTGAAGAGCTTGGGCTGCCCCAGTCGGGCGCTTCCCGTCTCCTCCAGGCTCTGCCACTGCTTCTCCCCCAGCTCCCCCCGGCCGCTGCGCCTCAGCTTCCCCGGCATGAGAGACGAGCCCGACGGCTGGGGGACAGGGGGCAGGTTGTGGGGACGGGCCGTCTCTGCAGCGCGGCAGCTCCCAGTGTCACCAGCCCGTCCCTCTGCCGGGGCTCAGGCCCTGCTGGGACCCCGACAGCAGAACTCACCCGGTCGCATGAGCTCCTGGCCCGCCCCACGGTGGCATGTGCGGGCTGCGACCCCCGAGGGCAGCGGGGGCCGCGGGTGACGGGGCTGGTGACCTCCGGACCAGGAGCTGCTGGGGGTGGTGACACCTGGACCGAGAAGTACCGAGGGTTTGAGACCTTCGGCGCGGGGGGTGCCGGCCCTGGGCCACGGACGGTGCTGGGTGCGGGGGGGATGTGGCCGGGCTGGCTCCGGAGGGGACGGGGAGGCGGCTCCGGTCCCGGACCCACGCGCGGCCACAGAGCCCCGTCCCGGGCACCCCGTGCCCGCCCCGCTCGGTACCTGCTGGTTGGCACTACCGAGACCCCCGTCCCGTCCCGTCGGGGCTGTCCCGCTCCTTTCAGCTCCGTTCCTGCTCCGCGGCCGCTGCCACCTCCTTCTCCTTCTCCTCCTCCTCCTCGGAAGGGCAGCGGGCGGGGCCGGGCGGCCGCGGCAGGTTCGAAGGGAGCGGCCGGGGCAGCCCAGCCCGAGGAACCCGGAGGCTGCACGGCGTGACCACCAGTTCGGCTCCCGGGGGGCTGCGGGACTTGTCGAACCACCCTGCCCGCAGCCCCCGGCACCGAGGGGTTGTGCACGGGACCACCCCGGCACTGGGTGGGACCCCCACGGGCAGCCGGGGCGGTGGGAAGGGGCACCGGGTGTTCTTTCCCCGAAGCTGGAGCTCTGCCCACCCCGGGGGTGCCCCGGCCAGGGAGAAGCACGGAGCAGGACCCCGGCCGGGGAGGGGATGGGAGCATCCCCAGGGCTGGCTGTCCCACGTCCACAGGCTGTCCGGTGTCCTCGGTTGTCCAGTGTCCCCCGGCTATCCCCGTGTCCCTCTGTCCTGCTGTCTCCCCTGGACCGGGAGGTGCCGGGGGTTTGAGACCCTCGGCGCGGGGCCGTCTCGTGTCCCCCGCCTGTCCCCTGTCTCCCCCCTGCACTGCCCCGAGTGGGGACCCCGAGGGCGGGAGCTCCACGGGCACCTCTGTGACCCAGCCCTCGGGGCAGGGTGTGTGCAGGGAGGGTCTCAGCTGCCCCAAAAACGAGCTGCAAATGCATCCCCCTCCCAGGTAGTGCTGACAGTCGGAGCAGCACAACCTGCAGTCCTGTGGCGTTTTGGCATTCTATGGACACCCCACAATCCTATGGCACCCCACAGCATTGCCTGCCCGGTGCCCGCTCCTTGTCCCCCCAAGCCCAGGCAGTGCTGCAGGGTGGGTCTGCCACTCACCTCGGGGGTCTCTGCTGTGCAACAGGCGACCCCCAGAGGAAAGTGGGGTGGGGGTGAGGCCAAGCAGAGCCAGGTCCTCACCCCCCTCGGGCACTGGGGCAGGTGCCAAGGCCATGGGACCCAGCCCAGCTCAGCCGCTGCTCTCTGGACCGGGGCTGGAAACGCCCTTCCCACAACCCGTGCGGCTGCGGGAACAACCATAAACCAGGGACGGCCCCGGGACAGTCCGATGTAGGTGACAGCGTGGCCAGGGGGCTGCACCCCGCGCCCTCCCTTCATCCCCCAAGACCCCGTTCAGTGTCCCACACACGCTGTGTCACCAGCTGACAGGGTCTGACACACCCTGTCACAACCTCCCAGCCCCCTTCCCAAACTGCTCACCCTCCACTCACACCCACACTGTGTCCTGGTGTGCACACACCGACACTGCCACACCAGCCCCCATCCCTCCCGGCAGCGGCTCCATGACAGACCCATCCCTGGGGTGTCCACCCAGCACAGGGCAGATAGAGGGGCCCTGGAGACCCCGATCCATGGAGCCAGGCTGGGAGAGCTGGAGGGCGGTCAGCTGGAGAAGGGAATGCTCTGGGGAGAACTGAGATCCCCTTCCAGAGCCTAAAGGGGCTCCAGGAGAGCTGGAGAGGCACTTGGGACAGGATAAGGGAGAATGGCTTCCCACTGCCAGAGGGCAGGGTGACATGGGATATTGGGAAGGAATTCTTGGCTGTGAGGGTGGGGAGGCCCTGGCACAGGTTTCCCAGAGCAGCTGTGGCTGCCCCTGGATCCCTGGAAGTGTCCAAGGGCAGGCTGGACAGGGCTTGGAGCACCCTGGGCTAGTGGGAGGTGTCCCTGCCCATGGCAGGGGTGGAACAACCCAAACCATGTCACAGGGCTGCGCACAGGCCCCTTCCCCCAGCCCCTGCTCGCAGTGTTCACACACAGCACAACCCTGCACACACATGGGCACACGAACACATATATGAGCACACACATGCACACAAACATACACATACATGTACTGGCACAGAGACACACACAGGTGCATATGCGCGCACACACACGTGCACACACGAGTGAACACATGCACACACACGTGCACACATATGCGCACAAGCGCGCATGCGCACACACTCCACGTATTGCCAGCTACACGCCCCGCCCCCACCGCCCCAAGATCCGCCTTCATTGGTTGCTCTGCCCCGGGGGGGGGGGGACAGTGGCACACGAGCCAATCCGGTCTCTCCAGCGCCGCTCCGTGGCCGCCATTTTGTGTGCGGGCGCGCCGCCATGTTTGTTGAGGGCGGCCATCTTGCACCCCCCCCGGCGCCCCCTCCCCGCGGGATCAGCGCTGGGGAACCCCCCAAACCCCAAACCCGCTCCTGCCCCACCCCCGGGGTCCCCAGGGCCGAGACCACCCCCAGCCCAGGGGCGTCGGCGCTGCTGTTGTTGAGTTTTCCTCTCCTTTTCCTCCTCCTTTATAAAGTGCGGTTTGTACGTACTGACCTTACAAAAGCAGGTTAAAACCTCAGGCCAGCCCCCACCCCGTGAGCTGGGGCTGCCCCGGCCCAGCCCAGGCCCTTCCAGTGTTCGGTGTGTAGGTGGCAGGTGATGTCCTGCACCAGTGACACCCTCACCAGGGACATCCTTCATCGGCCCCGGGGGGACAGGCTGTGGGGACATGAGTCCAGTGCAAGGAGACAGGGCGGGGCTCAGTCACTCCCCTCCCCAGAGCCTGGTGTCCCCCAGCGTGGGGGACCTTCCAGACTCGGAGTGTGGCACCGCGGTGGCCGAGGACATGGCCCTAAGGACGTGCTGGCCGGGGACATGGCCCTGAGGACACGGTGGCCGAGGACATGGCCCCATGGCTCAGTTGACAGTGCCGCTCTGGCCCCCTCCCTCTGTGTTCTCAGTCCCGGTGTCGGGGGTCCCAGCTCCGCTCAGCCCCTGCAGCCCGACAGCACCTGTAGGGAAGGGAGGGAGCTACAGGTCAGGAGCCATGGCAGCACAGCGTGACCTGCCACGTGCTGGCCTGGCCTCTGGACTCTCCTGCCACTGGCACCAGGGGCCTGACCTGGTACATCCTCAAACAGCACAACGGGTCCGTCCTGTCCCCCCACCCCTGAGCAAGGCACTGGCACACAGCTGACAGCACCACGGGTGTCGGGGTCCCTGGCCTGGCAAAGGTCACCCTAGCCCCACACGTCTCCCCAAATGTCTCCCACGTTTGCTGCCAGCACACAGAGCTGCTCCCACCGCCCCTCCGGGCCCCAGAATGGCCATGGCTGGGCTGGGCAGGGTGGTTCTGCCAGGCTGGGGGCTCTGCCCCCCAGGAGGGCACAGCAGGCAGACACAGCCCCCGCTCTGGGGCAGCAGCAGCAGCAGAAGCGGAACAGTGGCCCTGCCCCATGTCCTACCATGAGGGTCCCCCCGTGAGCGTGGCCGCAGCCAGCCCGGTCACAACAGGGTGATCACAACTGGGGCCATCTGCAAAGATACTCTGGCTTTAGCCCAGGCTGGCACTGGCCACGGGGCTCCCTGTGCCCCCAGCCCTGTGTGGGCCCCCCTCAGTCCCCGGCCCCACTCACGGTAGCGGACGCGGATGGGCCACACCATGATGCAGCAAAGCGTGGCCACGGCAGCCACGGCGATGCCGCCGGTCACCAGCACCATCACCCAGCGGTAGAAACCAGTGCAGGCGGAGCAGCACAGCTCAGTCCTGGGGGGACAGGCAAGGACAAGGCTGGGGGACAGCAGTCCCATGTCCTGGGAGTCAGGACTGGCTCACACTGGGATGTGAGGGAAAGGAGAGAAGGTGGCAACCCAGACACTGAGATCCCCAGAGCACAGCTTGGGCTCTTGTCCAGGGCCAGGAGGGAATGTGAGGAAGGGTTTAAGACAAATCAGAATTGGAGAACCGAAGGCTCCAGGGAGACCTTAGACCTTCGGGTACTTCTGGTATTCTCTCTCCAGGAGAGCTGGAGAGGGACTTTAGGCAAGGGTCTGGAGGGCCAGGACAAGAGGGAATGGCTTCCCATTGCCAGAGGGCAGGGTTAGATGGGAGACTGGGAAGGAATTCTTGGCTGTGACAGTGGGGAGGCCCTGGCACAGGTTTCCCAGAGCAGCTGTGGCTGCCCCATCCCTGGAAGTGTCCAAGATCAGGTTGGACGGGGCTTGGAGCAACCTGGGCTAGTGGGAGGTGTCCCTGCCCATAGCAGGGGGTGGAACAAGATGAGCTCTTAGATCTCTTTGAAATGAAACCATCCTGTGATTCTAAAAATCAGAGCTGGTTTCCACTCGTGTCTGATGCTCC